CCGCAGGCTCACCGCCCCCCTGCACAAGAAGCCGGGGCCCTGCAGCCCGACTCAGCAGGGCCCTTTCAGTCTCTCAGCTCTGTTAGAAACTCACAATATTTCCTTTGCTCTCATCTATGACTGAAATTTCAGGGAAGCAATAGGGGATGACATAGGCTGAACATTTTCCAGAAGTGAGCGAGTCACAAATCCGCAGCCACTTCGTGGTGAGAGGTTGAATGTGAGCAACACTGAGCAGGCATGGACAGCAGCAAAGGGAGACAGATCTCCCAAGGAGTTAGAACTCCAAGCGCCCAGAGCCGGGGAACAGCAGAGTCAGAAGGAGAACTGACGCAGAAGTACAGTCGGCTCACGAAAGACTGCGACCGGAAGAGCTAGAAGCGGCAGCCAGCTCTGACGGAGGTAGCCGGCCGAGCAAAGGGCAGATTCTTTAACTGATACTCAGAAACGTGAAACAATTCCACATGAGCCCTGACCTCACCACAAAGGTTAACGGGACTTCACAGCTATGTGCAGACAGAGACACGGAGACAAGCCGGGAATTCACAGGAGCGGGGGTCAGCACGGAGCCCCACAGCCGTGCTCTGGCCCCCGACACAGCACAGAGGGGCACTGAGGGGCTCAGCCTGCCAGGCTGGACCTGTGCACCGGACAGTGTCCGCAGGGGGCGTCTCTGTGTCTCTGAAGGCGCCAGCGCAGCGAGGGGCTTCGGGAAGGGTCACCGCGGCCTAGGTGTGGGTGACGCTGAGCAGAGTGGGGGGGCGCAGGAGGGTGATGCTCAGGGGTCAGGCTGCAAATGCTGGGGTTTCCCTTTGGCATCTGGTCCCGGAGGGGCTGTGCACATGCCTTGGCAAGGACGCCCCACAGACGAAGGGGCCTGCGGAATGGAAGAGGCTGAGGGGTGTCAGGGACGTCACCAGACAGTTCTGCAGCGAGAACTTGGGTGCACACCTGAATTTTTTAAAAATATATACATGAGATTGGGCCCTCCCTGGTGGCACAGTGGGTTAGAGCACCACGTTATGAAGCTCTCTGAAGCCACTGCGGCACGAGGTCAATCCCCAGCAGGGAGCTGCCCCACATGGCACAGCCGACCTCTCCTGACCCGCTGCTGTTCCTGTCAGCAGTGTACGTCGTTGATCTGCCTGTTCTGCTCCCCACTCTCTCTGGTGAACCCTCTCACCCACCACACCTCTAGCCTGTACCCGAGTTCTGTAAGCATGAATACATAAATCTTTAACAATATATATATGAGAGAAACAACTTTGAAATCTATCAGCCGAGTGACATGACAGCCCTGTCCCTGGGGCCCGGGGAGGAACAGGACAGTGACATCACCCCAGGAACTGCCTGGGGCCAGGCCCCTCCTCCTGGCTCCTCTCACAGCTCCTTGGGCTGCTCCCCACCTGCCTTCCCTGCCCTGGACTGCAGGCTCCTGAGCTGGGCCACCCTCTGTCTCCTGGGGGCAGGTGAGTCCTGGGAGCAGACACAGCCCCGTGAGTGTGGTGTGTGTGCGTGTGTCTGTGTCATGGCAAATGTTTCTCACCTTCTATCCCCAGATCCTGTCTGCACAGACCACACAGGTGCTGGCGTGTCCCAGACCTCCAGGTCCCGGGTCGCAGAGTGGACAGGAAGTAGCTCTCTGCTGTGACCCAATTCCTGGACACGCTGCCCTGTACTGTACCAGCACACGCCAGGGCAAGGCCCCCAGTTTGGTATATATCCACAGCAGTGGTCACCAAGACAATTCGGAGCTGCCTGCTAACTCTCTGCTGAGTGGCCCTCGGGTGAGGCCTCCACTCTGACCATGGCGTCCGTGGAACTCGGCCATGTACCTGTGTGCCAGCAGTGAAGACACAGTGTGGGAGCACCACCGCCTTCCTGCTCACACACCCCAGACTCCCTGTAGCACACGGAAGCCCTGGCGAGGCAGGGTCCCCTCAGCAGAGAAGTCAGAGCCTAGAGCCTGCAGCTGTTCCCTTCTAAGAGGCAAAGGATTGAATCAGGTCTTTTACGAAACAGCATATGTAAGTGGGGAGCCCCCTCTTCAGACTGTTGCTTTATTTCCAGCTATTCTGAAGATGCTCTGGCCGCTGGAACTTCTGGGTCTGCTCCCTCCAGGAATTGTCTTTCTCTAGTTAAATAGGATACTTTGCCCAAGCCTTGTGTGTTCCCAGACCCACTGACATCAAATAGTCAGCTGATATCCCTTTACTTTAAAAAAAAAAAAAAAAAGATTTACTTATTTATGCATACAAAAACTCGGGTTCAGGCCAGAGGTGCAGGGGTCTCTAGGATCACCAGGGACAGAGTAGGAACAGAACAGGAGGATCTACTGAAACACTGCTGAGGGGAGCAGCGGGGAGACAGGGGAGGTCTGCTGTGCCCTGTGGGTCACTCCCTGGCTGGGGTTCGAACTCTTGCTATAGTGGCTGCAGCCTGCCTCACAGTGCTGTGCTTCAACTCCTTGAGACACCAGGGAGGGCCCTGATACTCCCTTTTCTAGAATGCTCACTGTGGAGATTAGAATTTATTTTTCTTTTTGGAAAATGTTTGCTCTAGTCCCTCCTGCTTTATGCAAAGGGTGAGCTGGGAGACAGGTGAGCAAATCAGCCAGCACTGTGCTGGGCCCTAGTGAATCCAGATATTGAAGGCAAAGCAGGTGGCCCGGCTGGTCACTTGGGGGTGCTGTGGGCCCCTGTGGTGCTGATGGAGACTGGGAAGAGGCTCAGGAAGGCTGGCTTGAGCCCCACCAGGAGGTTATGGATGCCTCAGGGCTGGCAGGGAGGGCTGCTTGCAGTCTTCTCTCAGGCCTGGGGAGCAGCTCTGTGTCACAGTGGGAGCCGTGACCTGTGCTGACAGGCAGCAAAGACTCTTGGCTCAGTGGCTACTTTTGGGGTGTGGGAAGTCAGCGGGCACTTGGATAACATGAGCCAGGCAGAGAGGAACGACCGCCGGCCTGGGGAAATCAGGGTGTCTCCCCTGACCCAGTCTCAGCCAGCTCAGGGCAGCCCTGGCCACCTGCTGGAGGAAGCTGGGGCGGGAGGGGGGGGCCTGGGTCAGCTGGACCTTGGGCGCGAGCTGCAGGCCAGAGCCAGAAGCACGTGGCATCAGCACGGGCCTCACAGACACGCCCTCCTGAGGAAGGGAGGGCAAGGGCAAGTCCTGGTCTCAGCCTGAGACAGCCCACGATGGCTGTCTCACCTGGCAGACTCCTGCAGTCCCTGGTGTCATGATGGAAGGAGCGCAAAGCCTCCTGAAGGAATCTCAGCTCAGCAGCTCAGTTGCCATCGCCCTGGGCTCCTTGAGCTGGCGCTGGCCCCAGTTTCCCTGTGCCGGGAGCTTCTACTGTAGGGTTATGGGTCATGCACATCCCTAGACTACCAGATTTCTCTTTTGCTGCTCTGTCTGTCTGCTAAAAGGAAAATGCATCCTTCGCTGAGATTCATGAGGGTTCCCCTGACAACCTCAAAGCCCCCACGTTTTCTCTCCCCTCTGTGCTCTAGCGTTTCATCTACAGATTCCCGTACGCCCCATGACCCTTCAGGGGGCAAGTCACAACCCTATGGTCTCTGGCAATCACCTACAGGGTCCATAGTGTCTCCCCCACCTGTCCCTCCACCCCCCAACTCCTCTCCCTCGCCTCTGCCCCATCACATGCTCCTCATCGGGCTCTTCCCTCAGCCCTGCCTGTTCTTCACCCCAAAGATCTCTCTGCCAGGCCCTGAGAGCCTGGCAGTTATTTCTCCTCACTGAGTGTCTGTCCCTAATGCTGCACATATCTAGTTCTTGATTTCTTTCCTTGCATGAGGAAACAGTCCAGATAGACTTATTCGCACATGTACTAAGTGAGAATCAACAAAAGGGCTCATAGACTTCGGCTTACGTTGTCATCACCACGAAGATTTATCACTGGACATTAAGTGTTTCTTGGAGCTCACAGGGAAAGGCAGGCGGGCCCGGAAGAACCACAGGCAGGGGTGACTTCCCCAGGGCAGGGGGTCTGCAGACGCAGGATGAGGAGCCAGATCCACGTCTAAGACCAGCCGGCCTGGCCTTGGGCAGATTTCCTGGGGCAGAGCAGGACGGCCGCTTCTAGACCCTTCTGTGGCAGCTTCGTGATTTGTCCTGCAGAGTGGATAGAGCAGGGAGAAGTCCAGGGCTAAGGGCCCAGACTTCTAAAGGTGGAAACTACCTGCAGAAGCAGGCACCCCCTAGAGATCGCTTAGCAAAGCACAAAGACTGATCTGAACAGGTTCTGGGACTGCAGAGTGCTGACTCTGCACTCCCATAGGGTGTAGAAAGGAGGAGGGAGGTGGCAGCCTGCTGGCCCGCTGAGGGAGGGAGGGCAAACAGAGGATCAGCTCACCTGTGTCCTCCCTGACCCTCCAAGCCCAGACGCCTGCCAGGAGGAAGCTGGTCTAACCCCCCAACAAGGACCGAGTTGGGGGGTGAAGTCGCCGGCAACACCGTCATCACAGGCAGACAACCTACCAGGGACCGGGGACTCTGAACACGCACCTCTTAGGCCAGAGACCTGCCCCTCCGTCCCCGCCATGGGGCCCAGCCTTCTGCAGTGTGTGGCGCTTTGCCTCCTGGGAGCAGGCGAGGCCTCCGCCCTCGGGTCACTGCCTTTCTCTAGGGCAGCAACACTGCTCTCCCGACGTCTCTCGATTCTCCTCGTGTCACTTCAGGCTGCCTGCAGGGTACCACGGTCACCCAGAACCCAAGATTCCAGGTGGTCAGAACCGGCCAACCAGTGAACCTGAGCTGTTCTCAGACCCTGAGCCACGGCATCATGTACTGGTACCAGCAGAAGCCGGGCCAGGCGCCGGTGCTGCTGCTCTATTACTATGACCAATACTTAACCAAGGAAAAAGGAACCCCCGACAACTTCCAGGCCAGCCGGCCTGCCCTGCCTGAATGTCTCCTCCACCTGGGCTCGCCGGCCGTGGGGGACTCAGCCCTGTATCTCTGTGCCAGCAGCAGAGGCACAGCGCTGAGGGGCGGCCTCCCCTCCGCCCCGAAACCTCTGTCTCCTGCGCCCTTCCAGACTCCGCCCTCCTGCCCCACAGCAGGAAGTGGTTGGGTTCACTGGAGGCAGCGTGGGGGGCAAGCTGCAGAAACCATCCTCGGCCACTGCCAGAGTGGAGAGGGGCCGCACTCCCAGGCCCTCTTTGTAATTGCCCAGACGACCGCCATCACCCGTCCACTGCCCTCTCCCGTAGGTAATGGCTGTTTTTTATTTAAATCTAAGTTGGGAGCCCTCCCTGTTGGCCAGTGGGTGAAAGCACAGCACTAAGAAGCTAAAGCCGCTTCCGCATGAGTTCGATTCCCGCCTGCCCCGGAGGTGACCACAGGGCGCAGCAGACCTCTCCTGACCCGCCCGCTGCTCCCCTCAGCAGTGGACTTCGTTGATCTGCCTGTTCTGCTCCCCACTCTGTCTCTGGTGAAGCCTCTCGCCACCCTGAGCCTCTGGCCTCTACCCCAGGTCTGTGTGCATAAATCAATCAATCAATAAAGAAATCTTTTTTTTATAATTTTATGGAATCATTTTGTGAATATAGTGGAAGAGTCCTGATGTTCTCTCTCTCTCTCTCTTTTTTTTTTAAGATTTATTTATTTCCTCATACAGAATTGGGGTACAGGCCAGAGATGCGGTGGGTGAGAGGCTTCACCAGAGACAGAGTGGGGAGCAGAACCGGCAGATCGATGAACTACACTGCTGAGGGGAGCAGGGGCGGGTCAGGAGAGGTCTGCCGCGCCATGTGGTCACCTCCGGGGCAGGCGGGGATCAAACTCATGCGGAAGTGGCTTAAGCTTCTCAGTGCTGTGCCCTAACCCACTGGACCACCAGGGAGGGCTAATAAATCAATCTTTTAAAAAATAAAAATTAATTAATTAAAATCTAAGTCGGCATCATAGAGCTGGTACCTGGCAGGCCAGGTGAGTCCACTCTCTTGACAGCTGTCCTAAATGTCCCAAATGCATGTGGACATCACTACACAGAGTTCTTAGCCAGGGGGAGATTGCAAGTGCTGGAATCCACACCAGCTCTGAAGGCAAATGACAGCCTGGGTCATAGATTTCCCATCATATATTTAACTGCTTTTCCTGCTATAAGTCTGTCTAGAAACCACGATAGTGGCGCTGAAGTTCAGTGTCTTTCCACAGTAAGAGGCAGAGCTTCGGAAAATACGAAAAGTTGCCTTGCATCTTTAATGTTTTAAAATATAAAATTTTCTTAAATATCAATAAAAATAACAAGTGCCACAGTTTCTTAAACAGAAGAGATTTCTGGAATCTGCTAGAAGCTCTTTCAAAAAGCCATTATGAGTCTTGTGGTCTTTCTTTACCATCGGGGAGTGTCCAGGGTGACTGAGCGGCTGCCGAGTGAACACACTTCAACGGTGAAGAAGGAACCAGAGTCTGCAGGTGTGGGGTGCCTGATTCAGGAGTGAGATTGTGTCCTCGTCTCAGGTTTCAGTGAACATGAAGATATTCCTGCAATGCCATTTTTTTTAAAGGTTTATTTATTCATTTGTACAGAACTGGGGTACACGCCAGAGATGCGGAGGGTGAGAGGACTCACCAGAGACAGAGTGGGGGAGCAGAACAGGCAGATCAACGAAGTCCACTGCTGAGGGGAGCAGCGGGCGGGTCAGGAGAGGTCTGCCGCGCCATGTGGGTCACCTCCGGGGCAGGCGGGAATCGAACTCATGCGGAAGTGGCTTAAGCTTCTTTGTTCTGTGCTTTATCCCACTGTGCCACCAGGCAGGGCCAATGCTATTGTTTTTTATGTTGTCAATATCACCTGTTTCCAGTTCTTCATCACGAGGCCAGGAGTCCCCTAAGGCTGTATTCTGGTGATTTTAAATAAAAATCAGAGATGTGAACACTGTTACCTGGTTCCGCACCTGCTAAATACACTGTTGGGCTTTTCCTCTCTAGCAGCCCTGCTTCAACAGTAAATACTCAAGTCCTCCACCAGCTCTTGAAAACGGATTTTAAGCAAAATGACTTAGGAAAACAGGTTCTCAAGAATCTTTTTTTTTTTTTACACTGGCTGCTACTGATTTTCTATTTTTTGTTGTTATCACAATAGAGCATTGAATGACCTGGCGTCATCTGGGGATCTGCCATTCACCCCTTTTTCACCCCTTTATTCATTCATCTGCCTAATTTCCAGTTCTTCCTTCTGTAAACGAGCCTCTTCTTGCTCGAGCTCCAGGATGTACACATGTGGGAGAAATTCTTAGTTTTCAGAACAATGCCTGACCAAATGCAGACTCTGCTTCATTACTTTATGAGGACTTTAATCCAGGCATCACAAAAAACACATTATTTCTGAATGCCACATAGCCAACAAAAACACTAATCAGTTCCTATGGAGCTAAGAAGCAGATTTTTCGTGTCCTCTGGGGGAAAATAGCTGCTGTGCACAGGAGTGAACAATGCTCAGGTATGTGACCCCAATTGTCATGTGGGAACTGCGTTCCGGGTCCGTGTGAGAGAAAAGAGGCATCAGAGCATAAGCTCTACTTCAGGAGACTGCAGCCCTGACATATGAGCAGGGCTCTATGTCAAAACACTGGTTAAATCTGAGCGTGAATTCTATTGACAAAACCGGTCATTTCAGCATCACACACACCAACATGGGACATCTGCAACTCTCTCTTGTGACATCTGTCGTCGTCTTCACACAAGCTGAACCTGTGGTCTTGTGCCCAGTTCCTATTCAACTTCCTTTTCCAGAGCTCAAATCTGAGAGTCGCTCTGATCTATTCCTGCTATCCTTGAGCTCACACTCATGCTTCATGACCTACACCTTTGCTTTTATCTCAGAGAGATCATGTCTTCTAGTCAGTGCTTGGGTGCCACCTTCAGTTTTTTCACAGAATGTCTGTTTTGTAGTTCTAAATTTTATTTTTAATTACTTTTATGGCATGGACTGTATATATTTCATTTTTATGAAACTATTCCCCTCAAAATCATAATTCCACACTCACTAAAACAAAGACAACTTTTTCTCTACCTGGGTGATTATTTAGACACATTTGACAATATTGACTGTATACTAAGTCCTGGAAATTTCTCTTTCCTTGTGTTCTTTCACAGCATTTTCATTTACCTTCCTTACTCCCTGTCTTTTTATAAACTGTCCATGCAGAAAGCACAGATCTAGAGGACATCCGGTTGGAGAGGAGTTGAAAGGTCACTCTCACATGCCTCAACTCTGACACCAGCTTGAAATGTGGTCTCGTCAGAGCAAACAGCAATTATTTTCTACAGTCTCCCCCGTTGCTGCCAGAAGACAGTGAATGAGCTCATCAGAAAGTGGCCATGTGGGGCATGAACACACCAGGTTGCTGGGCAGGCTGGTTCTGACCTATTGTCATGGTAACGGGGCAAAAGCCCCCCTCTTTCACACGTTCAAGTGTCTGGGTTGGATAATAGACAATGTAGTCATTGTAGACCATGACACAAATGATAGCATCTCTGTGTCAATTGTCAATCATGTATTAATATGCCAGTGGATTTTGTTAAAGAAAATTTCGTCAGACCCTTGCTAATACAAGGCTGATTTTATTCAGGAGAAATACAGTAGTGGAGTTTGCAGTAGGAGAGACAGACTGAGCTCCACTCTGAATACAGCAAGAAAAAGGGGGAATTGGTAGCCAGGGAGCAGGGAGAGAGAGAAGGGCTTGTGGGTAGAAAAATCACTGAGAGGGAAAACCAGGGATAAGGAGGGATTTGGGCAAAGCTAACCTACCAGGATTTTGCTGAAGGCAGATCAGGGCAATCAGACATTGAGGCATGAGGAATTTAGCCAGCTGCCAAGGACACGCAGATATGCAGCTCAGGAGACTGAAGTGAACTCTCCTGACTTGACAGGATTCTCAGTAAAACTGGGCTCTTGGGGATGAATGGGGTCTCATTGAAAAAGAAAAGGAGCACTTGAAGATAGACAGACAGAATGTTACCACTATCTGCTCTTAGAGGTGAGGGAACATGAAGAGATTTAGATAAACATATATTTTAATGATCACAAGATGGCCGACAAACCTAGGGGTTGCAGATAAAAGACAAACTTCAAGGAAGGAATTCATTTGGGGCCATTTCGAAATTGAGTCCATGTGAGGTAGCTGTATGGATTGCTTTATAACCAGGAGAAGCTCCTTTTTCCCCCTTTTCTCTGCTGCCCCACACTGCAAGACCCACGCACACAGACATGCATACTCACGCACACACCACTACTGAGACACCCGAGTCGAAGCACACACAGCTCTCCTGCCCTCTCCTGCCCCAGCAGAGGGCAGCATCAGACTTAGAAAGAAGTTGAACCTACCGAATTTTCAATAACAACGTTGTTTGACAGCCTCCACCTTACCTAAACCTTGTTATAGATAACAAGGATATTTTTCCGGGGAAGCAAAAGGTAATGTATACTTCTACTTTCACTATTAAAAGGCAATGAATTGTCAGAGTTTCTCTGGGGTCCAGTGCATCAAACTAATTAAAATACTTAGCCATCAACTTAACAGAACGGGAGCAGCTATATCCTAGAGCATGTCCAGCGTTGCTTGAAAGAAACAAAAAGCCTCATAGAGCATTTTAACGGAGATAACAATTGTTACGTAACCATGTGCAGTAAGTGTGATGACACTGTGTACAATGTGCATTTGATACACAGTATATTGAACCACATAGAGTTTCTTTTTTACAGAGAACAGATTGACCTCCTGGCTTGGAATATCTACAGTAGCTGCAGTGGGGAAAGGAAATCCAGACGTGTTTGGCACAATGTCTATGGTGATAAATTCTAACATTTCCATTTTAGACCCTTATCTTCTTCAATTTCTCAGGACTTCCTGAATTATATTTTTCTTTATTGTATCCTCCACTGTGTATAGTAGGATCAGTTTGCACCCAGGTAAGAAGTGTTCTCTCAACTGAAAAACAGGGGCATGTGATCAGGGCTTGAACGTGGGAGACTTAGCCTCCAGAGTGTCTTCAGCCTCTGTCTCTGGGTAGAGGAACAGGCCTGTGCCTGGGCAGGGCTGGCAGTCTGACCACGCCAGCTACAGATCCCCATGGCAAGGGCATGCAGTTGAGCTGCTGAGCTCGGGCATGAGCTGCCAGCACGGCCACACAGTGGCCTGCACGAGCAGGAAACGGGACCCTGTGTGTGAACAACACGCAAGTCACGCTTGCAGCTATTGCTGCTTGGCCGATGCTCGGTGTGCAGCTACATCTGGAGGGAGAGGCCTGGGTGGGAACATGTGGGAGTGAACAGGGGTGAGAGTGGGTAGGTCTGCTCCCTCAAGCCCTCTGACTGGGGCTGAGCCCAGAGAAACCAAGGCTGGTTGGCACAGCTGAGGAGAAGTCAGGCTGTTCGGGTAGATTCTGACCATCCCCAGAGTAGCCTTAAACTTAGTGAACAAGGACACCTCAGAGATGATGAGGAGACCGTTCACCCCCACTGCCATGTAAACGCCCTCGCTGCCTTAGCAGTCTTCATGGGTCACCAGCGCCTGGACAGCACCCCTGGGTGCTCAGTGAGGGTCTTGTCATCAGTGGTGGACAATTTGGAGTATTTCTAGAAGAACTAACTGAGCTGTTTCCAAGTGGTGATGGCAGCTGTGCTAGGATAGGAGGGTAGATTTGGGGAAGCCAACTGAATACTCCCCCCAGTAATGGAGGCCCTGAGAGGGAAGACCCAGTACGACAAGGCCTCGAACCAAAGCTACGTGGACACAGCTATGTTTACTGGTATCAACAGCTGCCGGGGGAAGATCCAAAGTATGTGACCAACCTTGGAAGAGGAGACAACGTGGGTGGCTCAGATGTTCTTCTGTCAGTCTGCCCCAAGAAGGACCCAGCACGTTAAGCATCAAGCCGGTAGAGCCGAGAGACTCTGGTATATACTTGTGAGCAAACTCCTTAGACACAGCGGTGCAGAGTCCCGGCTCCCCAGGCAGAAACCCCTCCCGTCCGGCGCAGGCAGAACACGGCAAACACATGTGTGGCAGAGGGAAAACACACTGGTGGTGTAGACAGATGAGCTACAGGCATTTGGTGGCATCAGTGTGGAAGGAGTGGGGGGTGGAAGGCATGTCATGAGACTTCAGCCCTCTCAGAAGCTAAGGCTGTCACCAGAAAAAGTACAGGTTGTTAAAACCAGGTACCATTTCTCAGGGTAAATATTTAGTCACTACATAGTCTATGTCAAGGTCCCTGCTAGCACCTGGACATATATCATTGTATCCCACCACCCAGACAACCAAGAAAAAGAAACCTTGTTTGCACTGATAATATGGGGAAGTAGGGTTCTGTTCCAGCAAGTGACCCCCAGCAAGTAGCCGTGGGTAGGACAGGTCACCCTAAGAAGATCAGAAATGAAAACACGGCAAATACAGAGCCAGATGGAGGAAGGACTTAGACTCAGGAAAATACTGATAAAAAATGAAATGTGGCCCTCCCTGGTGGTGCAGCGGGTTAAAGCACAGCACTGACAAACTAAAGCCACTTCCTCATGAGTTCGATTCCCGCCTGCCCCGGAGGTGACCACATGGCGCGGCAGACCTCTCCTGACCCGCCCGCTGCTCCCCTCAGCAGTGTACTTCGTCCATCTGCCTGTTCTGCTCCCCACACTGTCTCTGGTGAAGCCTCTCGCCGCCCCTGAGCCTCTGGCCTGTACCCCAGTTCTGTATACACAAATAAATAAATCTTAAAAAAATAAATAAATAGGCCCTCCCTGGTGGTGCAGCGGGTTAAAGCACAGCACTGAGAAACTAAAGCCACTTCCTCATGAGTTCGATTCCAGCCTGCCCTGGAGGAGACCACATGGCGCGGCAGACCTCTCCTGACCCGCCCGCTGCTCCCCTCAGCAGTGTACTTCGTCCATCTGCCTGTTCTGCTCCCCACACTGTCTCTGGTGAAGCCTCTCGCCGCCCCTGAGCCTCTGGCCTGTACCCCAGTTCTGTATGCACAAATAAATAAATCTTTAAAAAAAAATAAAAAATAAATAAATAAATAAATAAATAAATAAATAAATAAATAAATAAATAAATAAAAATGAAATGTTATAAGGGGTGTAGAATAAATGAGACGAACTTAAGGGAATTAACTACAATGGACCCAGAAGGGCATTCAGTAGGCAGGGGCCAGCCAGGAGAATGAGAACAAGAGGATGGAGTGAAATTGCCTCTAGGTCGCGGTGGGATGGAGGGTCCTGGAGGGCAGGAGGAGGCGCGAAGTCGGGCTCCGGGCAGGCTGGGGCCTCACACCAGTCGACACTGCTGGGGAGACCCCAGGATCTGCTCTCTCACAGAGACCATAGCGCCAAGTGAATTCTAGGTTCTTAAAATACCGGTGACCACATTTCTGTCTAGTAACCCAAACATGCCATTTCCGGGATCAAGACATTGATGAGTAGGGAGGCAGGAACTCCATCAGGGGGCAAGAACCCCATCAGGGGACAGGAACCCCATCGGGGGCCAGGAACGCCGCGGGGGCAGGAACGCCATGAGGGGGCAGGAACCCCATCAGGAGGCAGGTACCCCATCCAGGCAGAGAAAGGTTCAGAGGAACGCATGGGCCATGGGGGTGGGGGGAACCAGACTCAGCCCCCTGAGTATCAATGGTCAAGTTCAAAATTAGGAACCCCAACTTGAGAGTCATCCAACTCTCCATTCGAACGCTGACAAATCAACAGACCAGGTGGCCCCCAGAACTCTGTTTATCTCATTTCACCTCTCCAAGGACATATGGCTACAACCAGGTGCCCTTCCCGTTATAGGCAACCAGGGAAATTGCTGTGTGGCTCCAGGCAGGTGAGTCCTGGTCCAGGGACCCAGCCCAGAGTCCCAGCTGTGCCAAGCCAGTGCCAGCCGGGTCCAAGCAAAAGGCCCTGTAGAGGGTGACGTCACTCAAACCCCAAATATCTATGCAGAGGAGGAGGCCAGAAAGGCGCTTCAACTGATTACCAGGCAGGGACTGGAGCCGCCGGGATGAGAGACCATAAAATGGACACGGACTGTCCCTCTGCACAGAGCAAAAGACTGAACAAAGTACATTTTACTTTATCACTGCAAGCGCTGGGGAACCCCAAGTGACCT